TTTTTTTTTTAATTTTAGATGTAATAAACTGCCCTGAGTTAAAATGCAAATATCTAAAAATCGTTTTTTAATTCACCAATGAGAGACCCATGGCAAAGCCCTAATTTTAGTCAAATGGTCCCTGGATGTAGGGGACGCTTTTGTGGCAAAAGTAACTCTAGTCTTGAGTTTAAGCTAAATCCCTCTGCAGTCAAAAAATCTACGAAAGTGCTCTACAAGTGTAGTGATAATGTGCAAATACCGGTTGGTTTTCGAGTTGCCTGTTGAAGACCTAACGGCAGCGTAAATTAGACAAGCCAAGCACAAAAAAGACAATTTTTTTCAGCAAAAGATTGAAGTTTAGTGCGGACTTAAAATCAGTATCTTTACTGTTTACATGTATGTAAAAATTTTCGTCACTTTAGACATAACTGCATAGCTACGGTGTTTGTTGGCTGCGCATAATCAAGGTTCCAAGCTACAAATTTTGGGATGCGCAAGTTTCCCGATCCATCACCCCTGCACCCAAAAAATTTACAATAATTCAAATTTTTGAATATTTCAAAATCATCATTTGCAATCAATTACAAGAAAAAATCTTACGCGATTTTACACTCTCAATTTTTATTCAGCCAGAAATTGTGTATTTGCACATTTTATCAAAGATGACGATGCATGTAATACAAGTTTTCGTTTATGATATCCTTAACAGCTCATGAACTCTTTACCTCACCCCCACTCTGGCCTACCTCCCTCCACCGTCCATTTTCTGGATATATTATCGAGCTAACCTTAATCAATGCTTGCTGATCACCCGAATGTAGCGATGGGAAACCCGGGACCCGCTTTGCAAATTCGACTGTTTTGTGAATATCTGGCGTAACTCTTTCTGTGTAGATCTCCCAAGCATGCAACTGATCTGACAATGATGGTGTTTCGGGTACAATCTGTAAGTATTATATCGTGAATTCTTGATAATATGCTTTGTGATTTGAACTTACGAAATCTATAGGATGTTCGGGCAAACTTCGCAGCCTCTTGATTGTCATAGCTGAGAACTCTTCATGCGCTTCGTAGATTGATCTTATGAGCTGGAACTGTTGAGATAAGTGAAGCTCAATAGCGATCATTTGATTGTAAAAAACAAACCTTGCTGATTTCTACCTTTGAAGGTTCTGGAGAAGTCGTAGAGGTTACTTCCTGCTTGTCATCTGGATCTGACGTGTCCACATCTGACGTCTCTTTCGGTGGTCGCTTTGACACCCTTCCAAAGCGCACTGCTACAATGTGGTGATCAGGTGCATAGATTTGTATCGATGTGATTTTTCTTTAGTCAATAGTTCGCATAATTCAGATTTTTCGGCTTTCCGAAAAACGGCCCTTATACAGATTACCTAGGAGTGCTCTTTAAGGCGTCTTGGTATTTACTATTTGTGAAATGACGATTCAAGGTAAGTTGTACTATGTGTTGTTGACAAAGAAATGAAAGCTTTTCTGTGACCCACAGCGAAACTGATAACTTTGCGGCTGCAGTGATAATAGGTAAGGGTTGTGAACTTCGAAGATTTTGTTCTATGGAAATATCTATATACCCAGTAGAGTGCACAGTGGAGGGGCGAGGGGGAGGGGTGAAATGAGTTCAAAAATTATTGAAAATTGCTTGCATGGGTTATAGAAATGTGCTTTTTTGTACTGAAAATGATTAGAATAATTCTTTGAAATTCTTAAAAAAATCAAGCCTCGTAAACATTTTTTGGAGCTGTGGCTGCCACCGCCAAAGACGAGCATCCCAAAAAAAATTCTCGGGGTTTGTGTTCAACCTGACGCTCAAGTTTAAAAGCAGAAAGTATCTATAGCATTGCTTGAACGATTCAACGGTTTCAACGGTCAGGACAAGTATCGCTGATAATGATTTCCGATTTGTTACAAAATCCCCTAGTACTAGAAGGTGAAATGATCCAGTAGTGCATCTAATACAATCATTCAGACCTGAAACGGTCATGCATCAGAGATTTTTAGTGAATAATTCCAAAATAGCTTGTGAAAAAGAACCGTGAACTTCTATAATTTTTTTCGGAAATATGTCTAGTCCTTCAAGCATTCTGTGACTTTCTAATTGAATTAAAATCCGATTAGCTCAACCAAAGTAAAGAATTTGTTTATCGGAGGATTAATCTTAAAAGTGCTGATAAAGTATGTTTATCGTTTAAAGTAAGTGTTGGGACATTCTAGGGTAAACATGGTAACACCTCCTTGAAAAAAGCAAAAAAAAAGTCTGGGGTTATAGCATTTTTTATTTTAGCACACCGTAGTTAACAAACTACAGTATCGGCAACTCGATTCGTATTGTAAATATGAGCTAACTACGTTAGACCTACAGTATCTTATCTTGCTCGAAAGACCTAGTAAGCTTTTGACTATGAGACAGTAGCGATAAATTTTGTGGACGATTTTGTATTATTAGACCTTTGATATTATTGTTGGCGGTTCGTGAAACTCACACTCTCTTGACATTCCAACAACGACACATTTCTTGAATCTACAAGCTTGACACCGATTCCTATTCTGCTTGAATATCGAGCAATCCCCATCTCTCAAGCAACGATATTCCATTCGTTTCTGGATACTTCTTCGAAAAAATCCCTTAAAGAAAAAAATACTCGGACCAATAACACGTCTGCTCTCATCCATATAATCAATAGTTGGCTGTAAGTACGCAAATTCCAGCAGACAGTAGGGGCTCAAGGGTTGCGCAATTCTGGACATCGGAGATGTGGGGATGTACGGTAGGTACTGTGCTAATCTCGGAGGTTCGAGACTAGCCAGAGACAGAGCTTATTAATTTGCTGCCATTACTGTTGGCACGTTCACATTTACAGACATACAGTAAAGTATTGCGCCAAGGCAAATATAAGAGAAGAATTGTGGTTAACTAGGAGAGGGAATAAAAATTGTGATTGATAAAAAATGTCGAAGTCTCTATCGTAATGAAATCGATGAAAAAGTGTTCCGAAAGCTTCGAAGTTTCAGAAACGACATTTCCTAATTTCTTCTAGTACATGCTTTTTTAATGCTCGAATCTACTTACCTTGCAACCTTCACAAGAAGTTACTCCATAGTGATATCCACTAGCCTTATCACCGCATACTTTGCACATCAAAAGCGCTTTACCTTCGGCTGGTAGGAGCAATCCAGTTGGTTGTGGTGAAGTACTTTCTAAAAAACCGGAATCAAAAGAAAATGGAAACTGTTTTTTCAAAGTTTTGTGATCGCGCCAGTCTGCAGTAGTACGGTATGATACCGTAATCATATAAGATTCACCCGATAGTTCGCGATCTTGAATTTCTCTCTTTTCGAACACTTCTCAACCTCTGCTGTTGTTAGCAGCTACAGTAATCTGGCTGTTGTATTCCCCCCCCCCTCCCCCTCCTCTCC